AATGAAGGCTCTGCATACATTTGGAGCGCTCGTCTTGCTGTGTGGTATCCCACCCTCGCGTGATCACATACTGCTCAAGATACCCAAATATCGAAATATACAATGTGCCTTTTATAATAGTCACATGAACCATAAGATAAAATATGTTTAATAATGCAAAATAGTGAAAAGCATAGAAAAAAAAGGTATTAAATGATAACTGCATGAATAAGGTAGTCGGATTCTGCTTGGATCTTGAATGGGGAGAGCTTGTGTGTATTTGTGTGTGTGTGTGTGTGTGTGTGTGTGTGTGCACCTGGTACATACAGGTATCAGATCCCATTGCATCATAAAAATCCTTGATGATATTGCCTGATATCATCTAAGTATCTGATGGTGATGAGCTCAGCACAACTGTGAAATTACACGCGCCAAGGCGGGACGATCCGACCTTGTTGAGGACACACAGACTGACTGATTATTGATCACTGTATGCACACACATGCACAAACACACAGAAATTATACAGCATACATGATTCAGAACACACCCACAATCCAAAAAAAAAAAAGGGGGGGGAAATGGATTTCCCAGTTCCTCCTAGCATACACAGTCATGCCTGTCACTAGTTTCCTCTTCCAATCACATCCTCACCACAGAATGGAAACACTTTCAAGGTTTTGTTTTTGCAGCCTATTTAAAATGTCACTTTTCTCTTACTATCAGACATCAAAGCCAGTGTGGAGGGCTTTTATTTTCTAAGCCAAATCCCAAAATTGTTTCTCATTTACAAATGCTGGCTGCAGGCCGAGTCAAAGTTTGGACTTAATAACGACAGCAGTGCATGAGACAGTGTGAGGAAAAGAGTGCGGGAGGAGAGAGAGAGATTCCCCACATGGTTATAATATGCTGTGGTGGTTGAGTCCATCAGTCGAGGTGTCACAATGAAAAGTAGCTCACAGGATGTAGTAAGCAGCATGCAAGCACACACACGTACACATGAAAGAAAGAACACATTCTGTTCAAACCCCGCACAAAACTGGTGAATTTACAGGCCTCAACAAAAAAGATAGTCGCTGGCCCGGGTCAGTGTATGAAATATCTGAATATCTTTTTCAGAATACTTGACATAAAAAAACAGACATAATAAATTGTTTGTTGTAAATTGTTAAATAAAATAATAAATTAAAAATATGAAAATAATTTTTCCCAAAAAAATTTAATATTAAATTATAAAAAATATATATAAAATGTATATAATAAAAATAAAAAAAGTCTAAATAAATAAATATAAGGCCTTGATTTAGATCAGAACTATTCACACAAATTTAAAACACTTAAACATGGCTGTTTTAATGCACAATCAACCGGAACGTACAGTGTATTTTAATCTGCAGTATAAACTAATTTCCAAAGCACTGAAGAAAGCCCTTACAAGTTTCAGAGAAGAAATGTGTAACACCCTAAAGGAAATGTGTCAAAATGAGTGAGATAGCTGAAATAATCACATATGCATGCCAAACAAAACAATAATAAAATGAGAAGAGAAAAAAATAGCTGGGTGTTAAACTGATGAAATCCATTCAGCAATGTTGATGAGTCAGGAGGGCTGTTTTCTTGTGAAAATGTGAGCCAGTAGGAAACAGAAAAGGAAGAGGAGGAGGAGACTGAGAAAGAAAGAAAGAAAGAAAGAAAGAAAGAGTCTGACAGCTGTATAAATGAGCTCTGTAGCTCATGGTGCCCCAGAGTACTTCCTCATTGTTGTGCTGATCCAATGCACAGCAGATGAACCCAGGGTTTAAAAGTTGAACTGTGTGTGTGTGCGTCAGTGACTATTGACCCTTATTTGCTTGCACCCGTTATTAAGTTTAGCTTATGTGCGTTTGTGTGCGATTGTGTCTGTGTGCATATTACAAGCCCTCCCATTGAGCAATTTTTAACCCTCTCGGTTCTCAAGTATCAGTTGCACAAATCCAAGTTGGAAGGGTGACAATTTTCAGATTTGGTGTGAAAACACCATATCATATGTCAGGTGTATAATAGGTGCATGTGCATGTCTGACTTGCCATGCATGCATTCACACTTCCTCATTTAAACCCTCCTGCTTTGCATTAAAAAAAGTAGGCCTATTTGTAAATACTTTTTGTAAATTTACTGTTTGTAAATGTTTTGTCAGCATTTAAAGAAAATCACATTCATTTAAGTAAGCTAGTAACCAAAGCTAGATTTAAAATAACATATTCAGTGCTTTAAGATTTTAATTCTATCATCATTTCCTCACTTTAATGTGTTCTAAAACTGACTTTCACAAAAGATTTTGAAGAATGTTTTTTTTTTATCCTTACAATTAAAGTCAAAATTAGACTACATTAACTTCCATTGTATATGTGGACAAAAAAATGTGTCATAAAGTCATGTCATAAAATGTCATAAATGCAATGACACAAAGGTGAGTAAATTATAAAAGATTAAATTATGACAGAACTATTTTTAGATGAATGCAGGTGAGCATTCAGCTGAGCTTCGGCATCTTTTGGAAAGCACCACGTTGGCCTGATCTCATGACTTTAACTGCACAGCCGTGCTTTTGAGAAACGCGGCCCTGATCAATAGTCACAGGCATCGAAAGTGATGATATTCCGGGCGCTGAAGCGAGTAATACATATTTTATAGGTGCACATAAGAAGGTGTACGTATCAAATATTAATAAATGATTTTCTGCCGACACTGATGACGTGCGGATGCATTGTTTGAGGGGGCAGCGGTGATGGGTGCAGTCGGGCCAGGGCGCTTGGTCTCCTTCTGCCAACTAGGCTCTGCCGAATCACACACACATACACAGAGCGCCGTACACTCGCGCACAGCACTCAGCTGGCAGGCATAGTGAGTGGCGATGGAACACCCCAGGCTCTGTGCTACCAAGCAGAGGTAATTGGGCCAGATTACCAACCAGGTGGAAACATTCAGCCGCTCTTTTTCCTCTTCTCCCTCTCTCTCTCTTTTAGTCACTTTCACTCTTTTACTCCATTTTGGAGCAGTGAAGGAATCGCATGCCATTTCGGAAGTTTTCGGACCAAGGTGGAATCAAAAACAAACGTTCAAGCCAAATCAAAATCAAGTCCAAAAACGCTGTAATTAATTTAGTATATATGTATAAAAGTGATCCGTTACAAGTCAGGGATAGTGCAGAGACAGGCACAAGTGAAACGGAGAGAGCAAGGAAGAGAGATACTAACTAGACTCAAGCGAACGCACTAATTTAAACTACAAGCCCTATCAAAGGCGAATGGCCTGGGGGCAGCAGTACCTCGGTGCGGAGCAGGGCTGCACCGCAGAGGAACGAGTGGACGGGGAGGTGAGACAGGTTAGGATCAACAGCAGCACAGACACAGCATTGTTAAATCAGGACTCAAGGCACACAGAAGCGAGAGAGGAAGTGATATGAAAGAAGGCCGACCAAAGCTTGACAGCACAGACCACTGCTTTTGCAGAAACATGACTGCTATGGCACAAAGCTACAAAATCACTCTGTAACGCCGAGGGTGAGGGGCAAACGAACACGTGGATGACTGTGACAGACTGCGGGTTGCTGTTGGTTGTAACCAACAGTTAAAGTGTAGCACTGGCTAAAAGAGTACCAGAACGCATTTCTTACGTAGGCTATTTTCACAATCATTAAATGACTTTTACATTTACAATGACTTTTGATTGTCTGAAATAATACATTTAAATGAAGAGGAATATATATTAAATAATTGATAAACTAAGCAGAAATAAATAATACTAAGCAGAATAAAGAGAAAAAATTATACACAGAAAAGGGGAAGGAAATATATATAGCCTACTAATATCTGCTTATATAAATGCTTAGCCTATATCCCATGCAAACAAACAGAGGAAAATCTAAAACTTAAATAAATTACTTTTCTCCCAGTATGTTGTAAAATAATGCAAAAAATTAAAAAAATTATATTTAAGTACACCGACTAAAACAACACCAAAGGGAGTTTAATTCATTGTTTAGAACTAAACTGCTGAACACATTCTTTAAAACAACACATCAGCCAAAAGGATGGCTATGTCAACCAATGTTAGCTATATATAAAATAAAAAAATAAAAAATGTTACGTACAAAATGTGATATTCTCTGCGATTAACAACAGAAGCTGAAGCATTCATGTGCACATATATATGAACTTATATCTCATTAATAACCAAAATGCAAAGTGTACCTCTATCCCAAAGGTACTTTGAATGCTGGAGACACTTGTTAAATCTAATGCATGCACTGTCAACTCATTCGCACCCCGTCACATCACCGCTCAATATAGAAACTGGATGTTCTGGTATTACAGACGCCTCTTTTAGCACACACACACACACACACACAGATAGAGCTACTGACCCTAATCTTGGAGACTTCTCGAACCACAGCTCTCTCTCACACACACACACACACACACACCAAAGCTTGTGTTATTAACTTAAAGCAGCTGTGGCAGCAAACCGCTCAAGTATGCACCCTAATAATTAACAGAAAATCATGGGGCTTTAGATACTACCAAACAACTTATTTTGTCAAAGAAAACTAGATGTTTGAATGAGCGCGAAACAAAGAGGGCAATCCAGCTATAAAGTAACAGTATATTCATTTAATCATCAGAAATAAATGTATAGAACAAATATAAATTAGTGTCATACAATAATACTCTCAGTTGTGGTATTTTATTTTCTTATACTGTTTGCACTGCTTTAAACTAGAAACAACCAGCCTTTCGCAGCTCATGTCAGAGTTTATGCAAGTAAACTGTTCAATAAATCGCTAATATACAGTCAGATTTAACTTTATGGAGTCCGTAGCAATTGCTTATTTCCAAAAAGACCTTCATTTCCCAATAAAATTAAGTATATGTAATTACACGTCAATGCGCTGCTGTGAAGTTAAGCAATTTTAATCTGCTAAAAGTATGTTTTAAAGGCACTGACTTATCGACAGGGGAAAACAAACATATATCACTTACCTGAATGTGGAGGCATCGGTATGTGTGAGGGGTAATATTTCCCAGGCTGAAAGTGACCGGGATGCTGCACAGTCGTGTGCCCGGCAGGAGTGATCCTCGAGGCGCCTCTGTGAACCAGCGCGCCTCGCTCTGCCAGAAGGTGCGGCGGAGGAGCGAAATCCCGGCCTTCCATCCCGATAAAAAAACGATAAATCCGAAATCCAGAGCGGGAAACCACAAGAACCGAACCGAACGCCACCCAGATGTTATAATCCCGTTAAGAGTTTCGCTTAGGTCTTGCATTCAGCACAGTTTTGGCTCTGAGGGCCAAAAAAGTAGGCTATGTCCCAGTCATGTTTTCTGCAACACAAAAATCATAAAATGTAGTTTAAATTACAAACCAGTTACACGGGTGAGTGATGCAAATCCACAAGATCGTATCACGTTAGTATCCTTCAGATGTGTAATGGTAATCCTTCATTGAAAACACCAAGAGTGTACGTCCATTGCTGCGACTAACGGTGGTATCTCCAGATATTTGACGTTCAGAACGCTGAATGTCTGTTGGACGTTTCAACGTATTTGCTGATCGAGGCCTTAAAACGTTGGAAGTTCCCAGTATGGAGTGTAAGGATGGTTGCAGGGCGAAACTGCTGAAGCCCTTAACCGCTCTCATTACAAACACAAAAACTGAAAAGAGAGAGAGAGAGGTTATAGAACAGTGAATGAATTGACGTGCAACTATATATCCTCAAATAATGACCATTAGATGAAATTCCTAAAGAATAAGCTCTCTGAAGTACAGAATTAAATGTAGTGCACCGTTTTTGCGCTGACAAAGGACATTTCAGCAAACATGTAGCCTATCAGGTCTGTGGCATCATTAAAAGAAATTGGGCACAAATTCTAAACCATGGGGTAGGCCTATTTGAACGCAGTAACCTCCCACTAGTAACCAAAGCCGAAATTTTACCATTTATTGTGATCTGAGATCTATTAGATTTGGCTCGGCGGACGGATGGGAGGTGAGGAGGAACGCATGAAAGAACAGGTTTCCTAAAGAAGGATTTGAGTGGTAGGAAATGACCTTTTAAGCTCTGATAAAAGCCAGACAATTTTATGAATCATGGTATATCAGTGTAAAATATGTATATATAATAAAAGCCTATAAAACTAAGATTTAATTAACAAGCCTATGGGTCAGTTGTAATTTCATAAACCCAATATTCATTACGTGTAAACTGTAGAAAGGTAAAAGCGCGTATGTACTTCTGCCATCACGTCCATTGCATAGCAGTTTGCAAATGCATGTCTTTAAAAAAAAAAGTAATTATTCACACTTGTATTTTATCCATTCAGTCAATAAGACACTAAGGTCTTCGCTCTTAAATACAATTCCTTCTCTATTCAGAATAATGCGGTAAATCGGTCGCAGTTCGGAATTACAGATCTCCTATTATTATATGAATGATTATGAGTACAATTATTGTTGTTGTTTTTGTTGTGGATGTCATAACTATTGTTGTTATTATTATTATTGTTCAAGGAAAGCAATAGAGTCGGATGAAAATGAATGGATATTTTTCTTTCACCCCCCTGCAATCATTTTGTATAACGCCAGATGTTCTTAAAAAAGTAAGAGCAGCTCTTGAAGGCAAATGTTTATTATTGCACGCACATAAATGTATACAATATAAACGAATTACTTACTGGTAAGTTATTCCTTGCAAAACAATAAATGGGTTTAAAAAAAACATGACAAAAATACGTAAAAGAGCAGAAGCAGAATAAAAACATATGGCAATGGTTACATCCTAGAGTCTGCAGATTGCAGTGCGTGTGCAGTGCAAGTTCGGAGATGCACCGTAGTAGTAAGAGCTTCTGCTGAATCGAGCCCCGTACCAGCAGTCAGAGGCTCTTTCCTGAATCTGCTAGTGCCACTCAGGAAGAAGAGGGGGAGGTGACTGGGGGAGCAGTCGCGCCCATTGGTCTAATACCTACATGTCAATAAGCTCGTGCAGCGCTCCCCAGGATAAACAGTGGCTCCGATTGGATGGAGCTCTGAGCCAATGGCGTGTCAGCTGGATCAACTAAACAAAACGGCGGGCGCTTTATTTGAGCTTTCCTGTCTCGCAACGAGTTCAGTGTGAGGCACGACCACATGGTTACTTATGCAGCCTAGAGTACCATTATTTAAATGACTTCAAACAAAGGAAGAAACGCAATTCACAACATGTGAGTTTCCACCCTGCTTTAAGATGAGGAAAAGCAAGCTTTTATGCAGACATGACAAATTATACGTTGCCATGATGAATTGATGTAGCTACTGTGGGACAGCCGTATGTCTTCTAGTGTATAAAAACCTAACTGAACAAAACTAAACATGCAATTGAACATCTCACCAGCCAAACGTAGCCTAAATGAACCCCAAATCAAGAAAAAACATGAAATCTCTCCATTTCTTTTTTTTTTTTAAACCAATTTGTGAATTATACAGTATCACTGAATTTTAAGCACCTCACTGGATGTTAGGTTTAAGGGGGTAAGAAACAAAGCACCAGTCAAATGAACAATTTTAACCCGGAACACATCAGGATGGTAAATAATCAGTTGAAACTCAAACTGTGGTGCAATGGCAAAGGAAGGGTTAAAAATCTGGGCCTCGTTCTGAAAATTGTTTGATTGGTTGGCGTGTTGCCAGAGCACTGTCAATCATAGAATGTAAACAAGGCTCTGATTGGCTGCTGTCCAGTCCGCACTGGGCTGCCTGAAAAAAGCAATTACTGGCCTTGTGGTTTCAAGGCGGCCCAGAGCTGGATGATGAAAGGAGATAAGGAGGGGCGGTTTCAAGGCCTCCCCTAGGCGAACCTCGTTGGCCCCAAAGCTAAAGGAGAGTCAAGAGTGACTTAATCAAAGGGAATGCGTTAAAAAGGGGGAAATTACATGTTGTATTAAATTTAAAGTATAGATTCTCGGATTAATATCGCTTAATTCAACAGCAACATGATAATTCTAATACATGGAATCAAATAGACTAAAACAGGAGAAGGCTGGAAATGAAGGCAAAAGCGACCAAGTGCGTATTGAGGATTCTTTACGATGAAATGCAAAAACTTCACACTGACTGCACTTCTAATTTTGACGGGATATTTAATAACAGTAAGTAGTAAATGGCCGTAAAATATAAACTAACAATTACACTCTAATACGGAAACTGTTATGCCGTTCTTTTTTCGGCTACAAATGAGTGAAAAACTAAAGATGACTATTAACAGAATGTATTCAATTATTCTAGTAGTTGTTTATATTATAATGTTTGTATTAAAATGCATTATTATTAAATTATAAAATATGTTGCCTGTCAAACGGTTATTGTTTTTTTTTCCTTTTAATCATTAAACATATGAAATAACAAAAACTTTTTTTTTGTCTTTGTTCTTATATGGTTTTCTATGCTATTTTCCTTTCTTCATTATCTCTTTAACTTCAACTCATGAAACTTCATCCAGGAAAACCTTCTGCACACCACCATCACACAAACCTAAGGGCAACTTCAGCTAGGCCACTGAAAGAACTGTAATTTCATGAACATGTACTAGCTACAAGCTTTTGTTATCAGCACCATCCCATTTAACAGCACGAAAAAAATATATATTGGATGTTGATAATAATACATTTTTAATATTTGCTTAAGAAAACACATGTAGCCTAATGAATAGTATAATACAGAGAACACTGCTATATTAGATACCATATATTGAAAAAGGCTTCTCCTTAAATGAATATTTTACATTTAGGTCTACATATTTTTATCTACATATGCCTATACTTTATAGATAAAAACTGGGCTGAAAAAAAAAACTACATAATAACAGGGACTTTAAATTTAAATTTAACTTTAAATGAAGTGATAAGGCATTCCACAAGGTGGAACCAATTAATAATCAACAGTTAAATAAATCATTCCATTAATGTTTAAATTGTTTATGATCCTATAGGCTTGGGGTTTGTTGTAAAGGAAATATAAAGACAGATAAAGAGAGAAATAAGGCCAGTCCTCAAAGAAAAATGCCACTGTAAATCAAATTCAACCAGAAATTTGGCCTCAGAAGTATGAAATCAAGTATGCAAACGACTCATAAGCAGAATCTCTTAATATGACAAAGTACCCAGTCATTGTGTTAACCAACTTTACAGTATTTGTTACAGCGAGTGTGATATGCCCTACCGTCGACCCTCCTGTACAAAAAATAAATAAATAAAATAAAATAAATGCTGGAAAAAAAAGCAATAACACTGGGGCAATAAATAATTCTGTTCTGCAATATACAAAGAGGCGCAGCGCTTTAAGCAGATATCGGCACTTAATTTATTTAGTGACAAGAAAGACCCTTTTATTGTTGGGTTTTTATTGGCTCCTTTTCGCAACTTGAAAGGTGGGGGTGGGGTGCATTTTTAGTGGTGTACGGATAACACACACAAGAAGCCCATGCAAACACACATTAACACACAAGCAATGCACTCTTCTTCTCGCATACAGGCTCGTCTAAATATGCATAAACACATATACTTGAACACAAACTCGGTGACTTTTTTTTTATCTCTCTCTCTCTCTCTCTCTCTCTCTCACACACACACACACACACACACACACACACACACACAAAATCTCCTTCTCTCCCCACGCGCTCACTTACAGACATTCTCTTTTTTTTTTTCACTCACGCACACACAAACAGACACACACTGTCCGTGTGCCAGCGCGAGCTGCCCTACTGTGGGACGCGGGGATAATTAATGCGGAGTGACTGATTGCTCTCGAAACAGACCAGTCCCGCGAACGGCATTGTCCGTGATCAATGAAGCGTCTCTGATTGACACTTTCCCTCCATCTTCCAGCCACATTCAAACTACCGGAACGGGGCGTTTGTCACCAGCGTATAGGCCAAGGGTGCGCAGAGACCCAGTTATTGTCAGGCCTAAGTTGCAGACCAGTTTTAGATAGTGCGAGATCGCCCTGGTCTGCCATTGGCAATAGAATAATCCAGACAGGACGCCTGAATTCAGAGCCCACTCTGATGCAAATGTTTAAACGGTGCTTACATGCGCCTACACGTCCATGTAGGTTAGGGGATTTTATGTAGCCTACGCGTCCGTTGGATGAATCATTGTGACAATGCAATCCGTAGCTGGTGATGAGAATGAAGCATGTTCAGTCAAGACGTTCATTTTGCTCACGGCCCAGGAAAACGGCCAGAGATGTCTACTCGAAAGATTGCACGGGAGACACGATTATAAAATATAATCAACATCGTTTTATTGGAGTCCAAAATCCATGGCTTATTGTGGTAGCTAGCTAGTTGTTAATAATATTGTATAATTTAACATGAACGCGTAGTGTAAAATTACACATTCATGTTAAATGATACAATAACATAAAATTATTTTATTCCTCAACAGGACTTGAAAACAAATAACTTGAAAATATTTTTAATTTGAGTCTATACACTGGCGTTATAAACCCACTACATAATTGAAATTAGGTTGATTGGTATTTGCTGACCTCTCCTCTCCTTTATATTATTAAGTTAGGCTACTGCATTTGATATCCAAGTGAAATATCTTTGGACCTACTTTTGAACATTTTGCAACTATTATAATTGCGAAATTCTTGTGAAATTACTTGGCCTCTGGTAAGTGTCAGGCAATAGGGACGCGTACACGCTCTACACACACAGCTTGGACAAACGGTTTAGAAGGCCCTGTGTCTGCAGTACTGGTAGGCCTATGTGTATCTGAAATAAAAAAACTTGTATGTAAAACACTGACGTTATAAATAAGCATTTATACCCATAAGAATATTTAGATGTGTTGTGTTGATGACCAGAACTTTACCAGCAAGAGCAGCGAGTTCTTGAAATCATAGCGCTGCCGAAATATATTGCACAGATCATTGTAGGAGTTATTTGAGGAGTCATGATAGATACAGTTGACACCGAAGCCAAAACTCTACCTGAAACGATGAAGATACGTTAAATGTAGTCAGAGGTTGAAAACCCCAACCTTAACCCTATAAACCGAATACTTTAGGTTTAGGGTGGTATAGGCCTATAGGAGTAGATTGTGAATGATAGAAAAACAACTCCCAATAACGGTGGATACGGACTAGTTGCCCTTTATAAATTCCAGGGAATGGTGTTATCGATAGAAAAAGCCCATCTGTGTCCAATTAAGGGAAGTACTGGATCACCCCCATAAATGGCACAAACCTACCTCATTACGACCTGTTTTATTGTAAAAGCTAGAAGTCAAAATATAGAGAGGTAAATACATGTAACAAAATACAAAAATCTAAATAAAAACACAACGTTGCTTTAAAACGAAAACGACTCAAGAAACTTTCTGCTATAACCGTCTTAATACAACAAAAGCACAAAAAGCGCAGATGAACGGGAAGTAAATATCTATGCCATTGTTACGCACCAATTCTTGACTGACCCATTTATAATGAACAAGAAACTGACGACTGCCCCCCATAGTGCTTCATTAATACGATTGTCTTATAAACACCTCAGTTTAAATTCTATAATTCGTAAAATGTCTCCTTTAAGCCTATCTCTCAAATTTAATCGGATGAGTGGTCTAATTAGTAGAAAATTAGTGAATAAAATTATTAATACCTATTTCAAGTAATCTTCATATTGTACCGTTGTTCAAGATACAAGTTAGAAAACTGTAATAGGTATTCACATACAGTGGAATGGCTGTGAGCTGATATATTGCTCTCTGCTGCCATAAATCTAAAACAAAGTAGTACAACCATAATTAAATACATTATATGAAATCTTGCGAAAGCTGTAGTCACATGGTGCAGTATATATCGACACCGCTTG